AGCAGACAAGATTATCGAGAGTCGTCTTAGATATTTTGGTCACATTTAATGTTGATCCTCTGATGATCCTATTAGGAAAATAGATGTTTTAGATTTAACTTGTGCGAAGAAAGGTAGAGGTAGACCTAAATAGGCTTGGGCATATTGCATAAAAAAATGATCTTAATTTATTAGAATTAAATGAATGTATAATACTCAATAGGACACAATGGAGAAAAAGGATTCATGTAGCCGACCCCAATTAGTGGGATAAAGGCTTGTTGTTGTTATTGTGATTGTTGTTGTTGTAGCAATCTTATGTAAAATACATAAAGAGGTATTTTGTTCAATAATTAGGCGGGCAATTATTATAAATAAATTCATATGAATCTGTCATTGAAAGTCATCAACTTTAATAAAACCACATAATTATCATAAGTATGTTACTTTTCCTTATGTTATACAATTAGTGATACTGACGTTAACCAAAATAACAATAGAAAATACAATTATTATTGATAAAAGTAAATAGGTTGTGACAAACAAACACACTTGAAAAAGAAATACAAGACACATGACACACAAACTCACGTTAGGGCGGATCTCGAGTGATGAGGTGACGGTCAGGGGGCTAGGAAAAGTGGCAGTAAGGTAGGAAAGGGGTTAACAAACAATGGATGAGGGGCGGCTGGAACAACAATGCGGTCGGTGATGATAATCCAAACAGCGGCAGTTTGTCGTCTTAGGCAGTTGGACAGTAGAAAAATAGAAAGGGAAGGCAATGCAGCTACGGCAACATTGTTGGAGAGCCATAGGACAGCGAGGGTAGTGAGAGAGGGTTGGAACGGCTATGGCAGCGGGTATGAGGTTGTTGGAAGGTTGTAAACTATTCCAAAATGGTGAGAAGGAGGGTTGGCAACTGATTCGGAAGGAGAACAACAAGGATTGTGGAAGGGAAGGGACTGGGACAGCGATGGAAGCAAGCAAGAGCATTAAAACCGCAAGGAACGTGAGCTAGAATGCAGAAACTGCAAGAAGAATAGCGTTGGCAACTGTTTCAGGTGGTTGCAGTAGGGAACGGTGGCGGGGATCAGTGTGGGGAGAATGGAAAGGGAAATAGAGAAGATAAACACCATCTCGGGAGAGGGAAACAGTCAGAGCACGGTCCAAACCTTCGAATACAACCCTTGAAGGGAGAAACGAACGCAAACAGCTATCCTAAACAAACTCATACCAAAAATTAACTCTAAAACATCAAAAACACAGATATATTATACTAATAGTATAGCGATGAGTGGCTCAGCGGTCGACTCCACAATAGCGAAAAAAGCCTAGACTTATTCGATTTGGGCGCAAAAACAGCAAACTACATGGTCGCAGGACTGTAGCAGTTCGCAGACAGGCGAGGTACTGTAGCAATGTTCACAGGGTGGTGGAGCCGCAAAGGAGAGCTCCCGTGTCAATTAGAACATGGAGTATTTCTTTCACTTTAAAAATTTTAAACTTTATGTAAAGGGGCCCTTCTACATAACGTAAATCTCGGGATGTATTAGAAAATGATGACAAACAAAATAAGCCTAGTCTGGTGCTCCTTCTTAAATTCTCATACCTGCACTATCCTCTTCCCTCTAAGATTCTCGCTCATCTTCCCTCTTTTTTCCTTTCCTAAATCCAATACATCCTCTTCCACAATCTAAATCCCCACTCCTTCCTTCCTATTAGTCTACCTTGAAATATTGCATTTTGTATCACTATATCAAATGATTACAAAAAGTGTACAAAATTATGCTTTTAAGCATTCATAAAATGTGATCTGCCATAAGAAATAAAAGAGAACATAGCATGTTGCTTGTTTACAAATTTAAAATGAACTCCCTAAAAAAGTTTAATTGAGCACAACAATGTGTAGCTCTATTTCCTTCTCTAGCTATGTGTTGGGAAATAGCATTTTGAACTGTAAGAGGAAAGTAAAATTTGGGTTGACATGTTGTGGGCTTGCCAAACTTTACTTTGCATGGAATCTATAGAAAAGTTGATCACATTCACATTGCAAACCTCGATGTCTTTGCATTCCTATGAGACTACCTGAGCTTCAATCCATCTCCAAGGTAAACACATTGTCGTCCTTAATAATGATGCTTTTGCATTTCTATTAGCCAAACTGAGCTTCAAGACATCTACAAGGTAATCATCCACCGCCATCCAAAAGCTCCTTCCTTTCCAATTTGCAACCGCCTCCTTCCCTTCCCAACTCCAACCCATGTCAAACTGAGCTCATTGTCACCCATAGTAAACAACGTCATCTATTTGAACTTCAGCTAAAGCAAAAAAGTAGGAGATGAAGACTTTGTTTGGTACATCTGAGTTGATGTCGTGCATTTATTATATTGTTTGAAATATAATAAAAATTTTTCAAAAGTTATTTCAACCTAATCAAGATTTTATAAAGAATGTGCATAAACAAGATGGGAATGTTCAAAGCATCCTTTTTATATAAATCATTTTTTTTTCAAAAACCTAAGGAAAAAAACCAGACAACTAGTATACCAATTCCATCCTCATGGATTACAACTACATGAATCGGTATAAAGGCAAATTTATTTTGACTTTGATGTCCCTTTGTTTCTATCTCCCCATCTTTTTACACATCAGATAAGTGTTATTTTTTATCGCTGCCACCTCTTACATGTTCTCTAAAATTTCAAAGTCTTCTACGCCACATAACTATTTGATTGTTTTAACTATTGATAGTACCTCTTTATCATTGTATTTGTTGCGCCACATAACTATTTGATTGTTTTAACTATTGATATTACATGACTAGCCAATGCTCTCACTACTCCTTTGCCCAAATAAGCCAAGGAGCCTAATTGTCATTATTACACAAAACTCTAATCATGTGTCAATATGACCTTAGTCCCTTGTCCACACCAACACCTGGTATGAGCAAGCACTCAATTTCCTTGACAAAATGCATTGTGGGGTATCATATATATATTCCTAAACTAACATCCACTGAACGCAATTCACATGCAAAAAGCAAAACATTCATTACTCTTATTAGAAAAACAACCGTCGTGATCCTATAGCACACATTCAACATATTTTTGTAAATGGAAGGATCTACCACATTCAATAAACAGGAATTCTAATGTACATAATAATATCACTCAAGGCTCTTCAAACTATCCTTGATCACATACTAGCTCTTATTGTTGGATATATAAAACTCAGATAATAATTTTGCATGTGTCATATCAAGTTTATGTGCATGTTTATCAATTATTTTCTCATCACAAGGTACCCATATTAGATAAACTTATTTTGATTACCTTTCAAAGCTAATATATATGTTGCTAACATGACAATCCATCTCTTAATGTAGGCCTTATGGTTGATGCCTTGATTAGAAAGTTAGATTGTTTGATCAAATGTATGGTGCAACCTCTTCACAACCTATATTAAACCCTATGTCTTACAAGTACCAACCACTTCAATATCTAAGAAGCCCAACTAGTCCATAGCCTCTCTAACATCACAAATTCTACTTATTACATTAAAAATTATAGTTCCATGAACTATGCATGCTCCATTAACCCCTTTGATCTCACAAGTTTCACTTAAGTATTAACTACTCCATCCCTAAAAACTCAACTAACTATAATAGCTCTTCTAGTCCAACATCCTCTATTTAGGGCTCATGCATCCTAAGGATCCTTACAATTTTCCACGGCATAAACTCCCTTTGAAATCAAATTCTAAAACAAGACTACTACTAAACTTTCGGATAGAGATATAGAATCAAATCCATAATTAGTCCCATTTCTTCAAACTTATTAAGCAGATTTATTATGAAGCCTCCATTGTTGGTTATGCCTTTTGAAGCTATTGATGTAAGCTGATTTATGAGGATTAAAATGATGGCACAGGCTAATTCCACTTCCCTTAATAAAATGGACTCCAACTCTTCAAACAAGACTTCCGCAATCACAACTCTTCAAACAAGACTTCCGCAATCAAAGGGAATAATGTAGATTATCACAAGTCATCAATGATTCTCTAATCAAATCATAGGAGTACCACGGTTTTCATCTTTCTCTTATTTCCTTTAAATGTTTTACATATTCTGTCAAAAGGACATTTTATATAAAACATCCCCTAAGATATAACTGGTTAATAATGATGATGCAATAAAATCTACTTTGATGCTCCCCTTCTTATCCCTATCATGCCGTTCCCCTTCTCAATCCAACCCCTGCCCCTCTACTCTCCCATCTCCAAGTATAGCACATGTCCCATTCTCCCCTCTCCTCTTCAAATCTTAAATCAAATCCCTCCTCTTCCAACTTTCCACCATCTAGATCCCCTCCTTGTTCCTCCTACTAGCCTACTCAACCCTCGTACATTCTTCAAGATCACTAAAAAACTACTACCAAAGCTCCTTCCTCTCCAACCCTATATCCACTACCTACTTCCTTCCGGCCTACAATCCGAAGTCAAACTAAGATCACCATCATTGGAGGAAATCCACCTCTATAATCTATTGATAGGTCAATAACTAGAGCAAGTTAGTAGGGGATGAATTATGTTTCCATCAGATTGCAGCAATAATAAATTAAAATCAAAACGAGTTGATATTCAATCAATTCATCAGTTTGATGAGTTTTTTTATTGAACTTTTAATTGAGCATAATATGTTTCTACATCACTGGGAAGCCTAAAAGCTTCAAGAGAACTATGGTCATTAGGTTTCAGGCTTCATTATAAATAGCCTCCTCATGGTATTTGGAACTAGTTTTTCATGAAGCTATTATAATAAATCATATCTTTTTTGCAGCCTAGGAATCTAGTGCAATGAGTTCTCATTTTGTCTAAAGCGCCATTCCAACTGTATGAAGCAAAGTTTATACTGCGTACACTAGTATATCAATATTGATTAAGTTTCAAACAAAGAGTTAAGTCATTTGTAGAGATAAAAGTAGGGAAATAAGTAAAAGAAGAAATGAAAGCAAGGACCTTGCCTGCTTGTAGCTACCACCATTTCCAGGAATGAACAGAACCGGGACTCCATCGAGCTTCTTAATATGCTCAGCAAAGTCGATTTTCTTCCACCCTTCATGATAAAGGAAAAGCCCATACTTGTCTGAAGATACATTGGCCGGCGTCGAGATTGGTATGTAAGTCGGGTACATATAGGTCATAATGCATCCATTAGGTACCGGCTTCAGCAGCTCATTCACTGCAGTGAATCCAACAAGAAGGAAAACGACGACGAGAACCCCAATTTTACACTTTGATAAAAAAACCAGCATTCTTCTCCGAACTTCTGCCCTAGTCATCGAACTTCGAACGACAAAGTTCGAATGCCTAGCAGAAGCTTAAACTGTGCTAGATCAAGATCTAACTTTGAACTAACAATCAACTAAAGATTCAATCTACGATAGAGGAAAAGACGCAGAAAGGCCGATCTGGAAAGGTAAGTAAAAGAAATCTTAGATTTATCAGGAGAAAGCGGTTTGAACTGGGGAAGACCAAGCTCCAAGCTTAAATCGAGGATAAGATGCAGCAAGGCCAATCTGTAAGTGGGAAGTTGAAAGCTGATTGAACAGCTAGTGGTGGTTTGAAGAATGGAAGACCAAGTATAGAACCCGAACTCGATTTGTACCGGACGACACAGGAAGGGACGGAGAACTCGGAGCCGCGAGGCTCGCGGGGGCATGTGAAGCATCTTGTACACTGGGAAATGGGAAGCCTTTCAGGGTAAGGGAGTCACCGGCTGCTCCCGGTTGCTCGATCCAATTAAGGCAAGTTTGATCCATATATACAGGGAGACGCAGGTGGACTGGAAGGTCGTGGGTTTTTCATTGCCAAAAGATGTGTGCTTTCAACGTATAAGCATGTTGAGAGGGTGAGATTTTGGGGAAATATCTTTGCTAAAGCATGTGTGATCCATGGCGATTCAATAATATTTGGACCATTTTCATGCTCCAACTCAAGCATTTCGAACGGCGAAGTAATGGCAACGACGAGTAATTCGACCATCATTGGCCTCCATGGCATCTTTGAGGCTGCCTAGGAATTTATAGCACTTTTTTTCATGGGTGCTAACATAATTGGCTGCATTTATTGAAAGAGAAGTAAATTTTGTCTCATATTGCATAATTATCTTAGACCCATCAGTCATATTGAAAAATTTATCTGGCAATGCTAGTCTTGTTGAAGGTTGAATAAATAAATCCAAAAAAATTTTCCAAAATCATCTCACTAAATCTATCGAAGAAGTGTCGATTTAAATGTCTCTTTCTGATGTGTATGTCACCACTTTTCAGCCTGGCCTCCTAATATGAAAGTGGATTTTGGCAAAATCATCCCACTAAATCTATGGAAGAAGTGTTGATTTAAATGTCTCTTTCTGATGTGTATGCCACCACTTTTCAGCCTGGCCTCCTAATATGAAAGTGGCTAATACCGCTCTCCTACTGTCGGACAAATCATGTCATACAAAATCTTCACAATCTTCAATAACCAATCTTCGACAGTTATTTTGTCACTGGCACCCTTGAAATTTTGTGGCTTGTCTGTCTGAAATATCTTCAAGTATTGATCAACTTTTGCTCCAAGTTTAAATCTTGGCTCTATAATAATGGATGATCTGTTAATAGCTGTCATTTTGTCAATCACTTCTGATATCAACTAAATAATGTCACGTAACTCAATGACTCTAGTTTCCTTATTTGCATATTTTCTTATTATTATTTTTTGTTCGATATATTTTTCGTTCGTACCTCTTGCTATGTAATTGGCATAAAAGGCCGACTCTCGATGCGTTTTGATTCTTCTTGAACCATATTTATCTGGATTAGCACATTAGTTAATGGCAGTTGATTCTATTCCAAAAAAAAAAAAAAAATTTTGTATGTTTTTGTTTTGCCACCAGAACCCACCCCTCTCTCTTTTTCTCTCCACATAACACCCTTCTCTCTCTCTCTTGGTATGTATGTATATATATATATATATATATATATGGAAAAATATCAACCTATAAAGTCATGGATGTTTTTGCTTTTTTGAGTTGAGGCGTGTGACTCATGACTTGTAAAATTAATAGATTTTTTTAAGTTGATAAAATAAACAATGTGTGGCCGTAAAAATGTCAGGAAAAAAACAAAAAGTAATATTCATGATTTTTAAAAGAGAAAATCAGTTCACGGGTTTACTGATGGAACAGGCGGTTCCACGGGTCTTTTTGGACCGAACCAGCCAGGTAGAACCGCTCGGTCTTGTCTGATTTTCTAAACACTAATAACAAGCATTCATTAAAGGTATTTCATATACAACATACATGCATCGTAGTAAATAAATCCTTGCAAGCAATGCTTTCGTAAATATATTCATCAAATTCATATTATAGTAAAATTATAAGTATATTAAGGGACAAATTAAGTTTGCATTAATGCCGCGTGTACAGTTATTCATCTGTAATATGTAGAAAAAATTTAGATGTGACGGTGTCAAACACGTAGCACATAAGAAATTAAAGAGAGTTATTTTTATTTATTTAACACATGATTATTTCACTCGAATCCACGGAGCATCCCTACGGTGAGTTTCCACGAGCTAGCCGCCTAGTATAAATAACTTGGAATTCGAAATCATTTAAAAATTCATGAAATCCAAAATTGAGATATTAATTTAATCTCATGTATGATTTATTGATTCAACTTATCTCTAAAGAGCTTCTTAACACAAACATGTATCCCCATTACTTACATATTGTTCTTCCACTTCTATATTTCCGCTTAACCCTTCCTAACTCATAAAATGGACCTACAGAAGAGCGTGGGAATCCGTTTGCTAGTCCTATGGCTATTCCCGCAATGCTACATCAATAAAAACCACATGTGGCACTTAAACCCATAGCAAATGTCAAAATGATAATGTAAGGGTGGAAAGAAATGTCTGAAATAGAATAAAAGAGGGTTTCCTACCATTCGTTTTCTTCCTGGAATTGGTTTCAGCTCTCAGCGTACCTCGGCCTGTTGGTTGGCATCCACGGTATAAGACCCCTCAGGTTGGGGGTTCGAAACTCCTCTGGCATAGTTGGACTTAAGGAGGTGGTACTCGAATTGTTACTCCTCTGACATAGTTGGACTTAAGGAGGTGGTACTCGAATTGTTAGGCACATTAATGGTGGTTGGAGGCTTGTATAATAGCCTCTGACCATTCATTACAAAAAACCTAAAATTTATTTTTTGCATTTATTTCACCTAAATCTTTCATATCACATAAAAAATGCCACCATTTTAACATTTACAAAGCGGAAAAATTTCTTGATTCTACAGTATCCAGGATTAATAAATCAGTGATTAGTTAAACTAATCATTGATGAAGATTTATTTAATTAATCTCATTATTCCTTTTATAAAATCAATTATATTAATAGTTTATATGAAATATTATATATCAATTTTATCATTTCAACGAGTATAATTTTATAAAATTGTTTTAGTCATATTTTGGAGAATGCTAAATTTGGGATATATTTTATAATTGCAAAAAATTTTCATATTTTCTCAATATCAGGTGTTACATAGAAAACTATTTACTATTAAGCATTCAAATACCTCTTTTATGAAACCAAAATAATGTGAAACAACCATACAAACACTCTATGTAGAAATTGTTTTTAGCCTTGATGTCCTACAGGGTCCTATAATATTTTCCATGAATACCCATGAACACTTAACTTTAGGGCTGCATTTCCACTTGAAATATAATCTACATTACAATGAAAGCTGAAGGGGTTCTCACCCTTAATTTATGAAAAATTAGGATTATTAAGATTTTTATAATTTAAAGTTTTAAAACCTAATGAGATAGAAATGTGCTATAGAAATATCTTCCATGCCTCATTCCAAGGTAAATGAAAAAAATTGAGTGTTTTCCTATTTAATTATGTAAACCAAAACTCACTTAGCTTGTATTTAACTTGCCTACATAGTGGAAGTCGGTTGGTATCAACTATACATGGCATTCTTGACATGAATGGAAGGCATCCCCTATATTAATATATTTATATTTTTAAAATGAATGTATTATGTTCAAGAATCATATACATCTCTCTTGACAAGGCAGAGCCATAGTTCATCATTGAAATATAATAAGTGCCTTATATGCACATTTCTTTTTGTCATTCAATTATTTTCTCATACACAAGTAATATTAACCTCTCAAAAACTTAAAGATATACATTATATTTTTTAGCATGTTAGAGAATCTTTAAATCAATTTGTTGTGATGCACTATCTACTAACACTCTTATCAGTGTGGTAGGATAAACGAGAAAAAATATGATTAGGTGATTCACATCATGCATGTTATTCTTGCGAACACTTAATTAGAGGTGATGATTGGACATGTGCATATTGGTAAAATTTTGGTAACATATTCATAGGGATAGTATTATTTAACATACTTTATTACCAATGTTTGCAAGTAAAGTCCATTACACCCATTTTCCTTGGTATGCACAAGCTAGTGCCACCTCAATGTTATCCCCCTTATACATGTATTTCAAGGTAAAAATCTCATATTTTTTAAACCTAACATACCCAGCTAAGGTTAATTATCTAATTATAAGCGGAAAAAAAAATCAACTTATTTTTGGATAAATTTACGATATATCCCAAACTTTCCCAAATAATATGATCTCCCTTTGAGATGCAACTCAATTTTCCAAATTAACCTTTTGTCATAGCATGAGCTTACATTCTCAATTTGGTTTGCTAGAGTTAACCTACCGCATTGAGAGTATATACCACTCAATCCTCTATTTGGCCTTTTTTTTATGTTGACATCATTACAAAAGTACACAGTAACCTAAGGCCATGTGCTTAGGCTACTAAGAAAATGTTCAACATGAAATATGAATCCTCATAGAGTGCCTCACTATACAACATCAATCCATGATCCCTCTATACTCTTTAGAATTCCCCATTTAAAGGTAAGCTTGGATTCAATCTTGAATAATTAAGTAAATCATACAATTCCCTAAGAATACTGGTGATGACTCACATCTCTAAGTTCATACAATTTCCTAAGAATACTGGTGATGACTCACATCTCTAAGTTAATTTAATTACGTGTTAACCATGATAGGTCACTAAATTATCATTACACACATCTTCATACTTTTGAACTGTAATATCCATACTTTATATCATACTATCATTTTTTTTTATAAATGGTTAGCCATGGCTAGTCACTAAACTACAAGCCTTTTTTTTTTGCATTGTTTTACAATTTCTTAATATTATATAATTTTGTCATGTTTATTATTGTTTGATAAGATTTTTTTTATGAGGAGGAGTCAAATGGGATATTACCTGGCCTTTTATATATGATTTTGAGCATCTATGAAAAGTTTTATTAATGAAGGATAGTTGAAATTACTATTGAAATATTAGAAGGAAAATTATAGATTTAATCTAAAACTGATTGAAGTTGTATTCTAGATTAAAAAAACATTCAAATTTGTTTTAGATCAAATCTATATTTTTCCTTCTAATATTTCAATGGTAATTTCAACTATCCTTCATTCATAAAACTTTTCAAACTTTATCTTGTATGCTTAAAGCACTTCATGCCCAAAGCACTTAATTCTACTTCCATTCAACCTATCTTCAAAATATCTTACTCCAACATTCAACAATCCCTTTAATACAAGCACTCTCAATTTAAACTTATAAATTAAACCCTAAAAAATTGATATTTCTTATCCTTGTGTTTTATATTTATATTGCCCATATTTTTCATATCACACACACACACACACACACACATATATAT